CGTCCTCAACGATTGGCAAACAAGCTCCTGGGAGTAGATTTCAGGTAGTTGACCTTGAGGCCTTTCCCCTTGATTATGCCTTTCCAGAATTTTCTTCTCAGATGGAGCACTTTTAGAGAAAAGATGGTCTTCAGAGGTAAATCTGCTCTGTTTTTCTGATCTACTCTCCAGGACACTCATATAATTTCTGCAGGGCAGCTGGGCTTTTAGATGTAAAAGGGTACAAGGCCAAGCTCAACTCTCCCAAGTTGGCTTCTTCCATGTGGCTTCCTTGTGCGACATCTCAACAGGTGGTCACAGCCTAAAACTAGACAGGGCATCGTATGCCTCTGTGGATGGGCTTCCAGGCATCCCTGGGTTCCCAGAAGTATTCCCAACAGCGGGGTCTGCCTTGAGGGCTCTAAGCGTAAATAAATGAAGCGCTTCAGTCATCTAAGTGGAACTGCACCCCTGGCATGGTGCGGCAGTGCTACCAAAGATGTCCTTTGCATCTGTGGTTGAGCTAAAGCTGCCCTTCTGCCTAAGAAAGCAGTCTTTCCATTTGAGCCAGCCCATAGTGACATTTTGGATAATAGGGCAAAAGAAGGGGCCACAAACATGTTTATTACATGCAGACCTCAGATAATCCTGAGTTTTGCACCACACCTGGGCCGGGACTTGGGGAAGCAAAGCTGACGGAGGTCCTCACGGCCTGGGTCGGGAGCATGGGCTGGCGCCTGAGTGGGACGGAGTAAATCAGACTCCCTGGGCGCTTCCTCTTACGTCAAGCCAGCACTCTCTCCCTGACTCACCTAGGCTGATGCAAGGGATGCCTGACTCGGCAGCCTCTTCCCTGGCCTGCCGCCCTGGCAGGCATTTGTGTGTTCTCCAAGGAGTGGCAGAGGGATTCTGCTACGGTGAAGTCAGATCACGCTGCCCTTGGGCAACCCCGGAGCGCCCCATCTCCCTCCACAAAAGCCTCTCCTTGGCTCTCTTACGCCAGTACTTGCTCCTCCACCCTCCGTGGCTTCTCCAGGGGCTTCCTTGCTGTGTTCACCTAGACTAAGCCTTGGCCTTGCTGGTTCCTTTCCCTGTCAAACTTTCCCACGTGGCTACAGATCCACAGACCGATACCAGTTGGCCCTGTTCACCCTCTTTTAACTTTGCTCCTGTCTACCTCACACTCCTCAGCCCCTTCCTGTGTTGATTTTTTTTCTCCTGCTATGGTATTTACATTTATCTCATTTCTCCACCTTCCCTCTACCAAAAAAAAAAAAGTGGCAAGAGGGCAGAGATTTTTGTGCTTCGATCAGGGCTGCATGTACAGTGCCTGGATTAAGGCCTGCCACCTGTATTTGGTGGACCTTTGACCAAATGCCTGGGGGAGTCATTTCCGATCACACGTGGGCTGCTGGTGCCCAAGCCCCCCCTCCCCACGGCCACTGCCGCGTGACTCCTGGTCCCGTGCCAGCACACAGACCGCACTCTGATTTGGCAGGTAGGACAACAGGACTCTGCAACCAGACACCCCTTCCCCCTGCTCCTTTGTCCCTTTTGGCCTCAGCTCATCAGAAGCTTTTGTCTCTGGAAAACCAACAGAGGCCTCTGCCAGAAAGGTCTGCCCATCCTCCTTGTTGTTTCAGCTGTTTTCAGGGTTCTCTAGGAGGATGCTTGGCCACAGGGAGGCCAGTGGGGAGCCAGGGTCAGGTGATGGAGTGAGGAGCTCAGGAAGCCCACGGCCTTCCAGCTCAGGGTTACTTGGACACTGCTCAGTGGATCTTCAGCTTGCCTTATGCCGTTCCTTCTGGTTTCCTGTCTGTGATAAACAAGCCTGGAAACCGAGGGAGATCAAGCTTTAGGGTCCTGAGCAAACCTGCTTTAAAATAAGGGTCCAGGGACGGCGAGGTAGAGCACCTGCTTAGCACGCAGGAGCCCTCGGTTCGATCCCAAGCACCACAAAAAGTGAGGCGAGGTGGGTGCCACAGGGAAGAGCAGTAATCTCTGGGAAGCTGATTGGCAGCCGAAGCCTGCTAGACCCCTGCCTGGGGAGGATGGAGATGTAGGAAGCTGTGATACTTGGGCTGAGCAAGGGTTTTTTCCCAGTCAACCACAGTCTGGTGGAACAACCGAGCATTCACAGTGGAATGTGTTGATTAAGGTGGTCAGATACCTTCTACCCCAGCGGAAAGAGGAGTGAATGCTTAACTTGCCGGACTTCCTGCTTTTCTTCCCTCGCCTTGAATTAAAGCTCCTTGCCTCTGTCTGTATTCTGAAAGAGATTCAGAAGAGTTGGGAAGCTTTATCTGATAAGGTTCCGGGGCAGGCAGTGCTAGAGTTTCTTTGGGGTAACTAAGCTCAAAGTCTAAGCTTGGATCTTAAAGGAAGGTCATGCGTTGAAGTGTATCCACTGAATATCTGGTTTGCCATTTTCCTGCAGTTCAACAAACAAACAAATGAACAAATAATAAATAAATGGGAAAGGACTAAATGTCTCCCCAGAGGCTTGGGTGTGAAGGGTAATGAAATGGTACACTGGCTTATACCTATTCCATGAACATTTTAAATATGGTGTTAATAATTCTCTTTGTTAATCCTCAAAAGAATGTTTTATTGTGGAGCACCAAAGGAAAAATAATCTATTTATGTTCCCACCTTAATTTTAGCTTCCTTCTTAAGTGAATTCCACACCCCCCCCAAATTCTTGCACATTGGGTCATTCCGAAATGGATTATTGACCAGTAATGCGGCCACTATAGTGTTCCGACTAAGCAGCTTTAGGAAGAAAAGCCTCCGAGGACTGTAGCTCATAGGCAGAAGCCAGTAGAAGGAGGCTGGGAATTAAGCAGCAGGTGAGCAAGTGTTTGCTAAGCACCTTGCTTGTGCAAGAGTCTTCTAGAAAAGGAGAAGTCTTTGGGGCCTCAAGATCAACAAATACCAGTTGAATCTAATTGAGTTTGAAATAATTCTCCTTTGGAAAGTAGAGGAATTTGCATTTCTGAACAGTTGATTCATTGGCTTCCAGATGACCGTAACTGTGTAGTTGGACTTCCTTTTATTTTGATCAAGGCACTGCCCGTCCTTTTGATTTTATTTAGGTTTTTTCAGAATCTACATACATCAGCCACCTCTATCAACTGGGGTTGTCCAATGGATTAGCTTGTGGGGTTACACAACTGGATTAGCAGGTGACCCAACCCCAGCCCTGGTAGCGTCTTTATACATCACAAACTGCTTCTTTTTAATCCCTTTCATGGGCTGAGGTGTCTGTTTGTCCAGAATTTCAGCACTGTCTCAAATCAAAGCTTTTAACTGAACTAGGGGTGATTGGTTTTACTCTTAGCTTTGTTTGGAAGCTGAACTGAAAGTCTAACCTTTAGTTCCTCTCTTTCAAAACTCACTCTGATATTTGCCTCTGTTTGTCCACTAAAGCTGACTCATCCCCAGTTAGGCTAAGCAGTTTCCTTTGTCTTCTAGAACCAGAGTCGTGATGTTTTTGTTTTGCAGAACTTTGTGCTGCTCCAAGAACTATGAGAAGATCAGTGGGGTAGACGTCTTCTGGGAGCTGGTTAGAAATATAGATCCCAAGTACCAGCCTTACCCCCAAATCTGTGTTTTAGTAAACACAAAATATCCAGCTAATTCATATGTACATCCCAGTGTGAGAAGCACTGGCTGAATGTGCTTTAGATTTAGATTTATTTTTTTGTGGTGTTGGGGATCAAACCTAGAGCCTCACAAATGCTAGGGAAGTGCTCTGTACCACTGAACTATAACCTTAGTGTTAGATTTCCTTATTCAAAATTGGTTGATTAGAATGTGAAATGGACATATTTCTACTCTTTTTTTTTTTCTTTTTTTATAGTACTAGATATTACACCCAGGGAGCCCTGTGCTATTTCCTGGCCCTTTTTATTTTATTATGAGCCAGGGTCTTGCAAAGTTGCTTAAGCTGGCCTTAAATTTGTAATCCTCCTTGCTCAGCCTCCCTAATAGCTGGGACTGCGGGTGTGTGCCTCCATCGACAACCTTCATTAAATGTTTTGGTGGTAGTTGGGGGAGTACTGCGGATTGAACCCAGGGCCTTGGCACTGAACTCCAGTGCCAGCCCTTTATTTTAGTTTTCATTTCTCAGATAGGATCTTGCTGAGTTGCCTAAGCTGGGGATGAATTTGTGATCCTCCTGCTTGAGACTTCTGGAGTGCTGGGATTACAGGTGTGCACCACCATGCCTGGCTTCCATTAAATTTTTTTTCTAACATTTAACTATGAAAGTTACAAACATGCAGCAAAATAGAAAGCATTTTTCAGCGAATAGCCAGCCAGATAGCCTCCACCTAGATTCTATTATTAACTTTATTTTCCCATTTCCTTTTTCCCCCGAATTTCTATCAAGAATTTTATATGAAAAGTAGCATGACTGTTACAAAGAATTGTGTTCTGGTGATTACAAAGAATTGTGTCCTGGTGGTATGGATCTCATTTTTTTTTTTTTTTAGAATTCTCAGGGACTTTGATAAGGTTGCAGTTAATTTCAGAATTTCTTGTGAATCAGAAATGTGGGGATAGGGCTGGAGATTTAGCTCAGTGGCACAGCACCTGCCTGGTGAGCGCAAGGTCGTGAGTTTGATTCCCGGTACTGGAAAAAAACAAAAAACAAAAAGAAAAAGAAAAAGAAAAAGAAGAAATGTGGGGATAGGAGCAGGGGAATACGGGGATTTAGCATAGTTGGGGGCTGCTCCCTGTCCTACCCATAATGCTGGGCCTTGGTATCCTCATCTATACCATGTGTGGGTTTGGAGAGGTCACCTCAAATGTGTCCTTCCAACCCTGTAACTATAGACCCATTGCAAATATTGTCATCACTCTTTTTCAGGTGGGAGAAACATGTATCAGTTAAATATTGGAATAAGAAGGAAAGCATGTGTTGGCATGGGAAAGTGATTATTTCCTAAGTTACTGGGTAAAACACAGCTGCAATGGCAGTTTTAACTCTGTTTTCTTGTTAATTTTTGTTCTTTCAGGAAACCTTTCAGAAACCTCAGCCATCTGGAACTCAAAGGCTCCTTTGGGGGCTGACTGCGGCTTCTAGAACATCCAGGTGTTCCGCATCTGTGAGAATTTATCCTGCAGTCACCAGATCGAGTCCCAGACAGATGCGACGCTTGTGATGTGGCTTGGATGGCCTTGAATACAGAGGGGTCACTTGTTGAGTGGCCAGAAAGTGGTCACTGATACTGATGTCCGATTGTCAAACCTAGCTGGTTGTCTTGTTAAGCTGCAGTGGGGAACAGCTCCGATGGAGAGGCGAGCCAAGTTGGGGATCGGCAGTTTCTTAACTCCCTTGAATTAGATTTCCAAATGGAGCTCTCATTTCTGTGGTTTCCACCATACCTGTAGCCATCGTCACTGTCACCACCACTGCCACCAGGATGTCCTCGAAATCGTCTCTCCAACTCCCCAGGGACTTCCTGCCTTGAAAGTGAGCAGAGAGTCTGGGAGAAGCCTCTGGCTGTGGTTCACCTTTGCTCCAGACAACCAGAATCTTCCCCTTCCTACCATGGGCTGGCTTTTCCTGAAAGTTTTGCTGGTGGGAGTGAGTTTCTCTGGATTTCTTTATCCTCTTGTGGATTTTTGCACCAGGGAGAAGGCAGCAGACCAGAGACCAAATTTTGTGATCATTTTGGCTGATGATATGGGATGGGGGGACCTAGGAGCAAACTGGGCAGAAACCAAGGACACTGCCAACCTTGATAAGATGGCTGCAGAAGGAATGAGGTGAGTCTTGAGGTTGCCGGGCTGACATCCCTTTGGATTCTCATCCTAATTCTCATGGTAAGAGGAGGCACTAGAAAACACATAAGGAGCAATGGATGGATCTCTGTTGATTTCATGAATGTATTCATTTGGTTTGAAGCCAGAGAAACATTATGAAGAACACATATCCATCCATCTGTGCACCCACTCACCCATTTATCCATCCATCTACTGTACCCACCCACTCACCCATCTATCCATCCATCCACCCATCCACCCATCTATCCACCCACACATCCATCCATCCATCCATCCATCCATCCATCCATCCATCCATCCATCTATCCATCCATCCACCCATTCATCCATCCAACCATCCATCCATCCATCCATCTATCCATCCACCCATCCATCCATCCACCCATCCATCCACCCATCCATCCAACCCATCCATCCATCCATCCACCCATCCACCCATCTATCCATCCGTCCACCCATCCATCCACCCATCCATCCAACCCATCCATCCACCCATCTATCCATCCATCCACCCATCCATCTATCCGATGACATGGTGTGTATCTGTGTATTAGGAAGTGGCAATACAGAGGTGAACAAGACCAAAATTCTTGCCCTCATGTTACTCTGCCTGGCAGAGGAGACAGTTAAAAGCAAAGTAAAAATTACAGTGGAGGTGGGCATGGTGGCATAATCCTGTATTCCAGCACTCTGGAAGGCTGAGGCAGGAGGACTGTAAAGTCAAGCCCAGCCTGGGCACTTTAGGTGCTTAGTGAGAGCCTGTCTCAAAAACAACTACATTTAGAAAGAGTTGGGATGTAGCTCAGTGCTGAGGCCTTGAATTCAGTCCCCAGTACTTAGTCCCCAAGACTTTAGGAGCTTAAATGCCCTGAAAGGTTATCTCCAATTTTGCATGTAGGGATTTTTTTAATAGGGAGACTTAATCCAGACATCACATTTACACAATCCCCAAAAGGAACTAGGCTGCCAACTGCTTGTAAACTCCTGCCTTCACTGTGCAGCAGGTCTGTAGGGAGACAGCAGGCCTATCATTCCAGCTACCACTTGGGAGGCCTAGCCCTTTTTCTTGAGCTGCCCCACCAACACACTCATCTGAGCAGGAGGCAGGAGTGTCAGGGGGTCAGACGCAAGCCAGTTTGGTGGGCTCTTTGATTTTTTTTCTCCCCGTTACGATCATATTCTCTCTGAACCTGTGACAGTGGCCAGGTGCCTGGCCCTCTGGCCAGAGGACCACATGTTTTCTTTCTGTGCTTTGTTGACAGGAAAGCTGGCTTCCTGTGAGGCCACGGATTGATTCATCGCTGGCTTCTGCCACTGCCTACTCATGGCCGGTAGGGAACTGTGATTTTCAGACATGAACTCTTATTACCAAACAGGGCTGAAGTGTGACTTGAGAAAGTATCGTTTCTGCTGTCTTCTTTTTATGAGAGTATGATTTTCCCAGTGCTGTGGGAACAAATTGCTATACACTGGCTGGCTTAAAATGTGAATGTATCTCTGTATAGTTCAGGAGTCCACAAGTCCAACATTGAAGTGTCAGCAGGTCGGTTCTTTCTGGAAATCCTGAGAGGAAACCTGTGTCTTGTGTCTCTCCTGGCCTCTGGTGCCCTTAGCAATCTATGGCTAACAGACTCCAGTCTCTGCCGTGGTTCTTACCTGGTTCTGGCTGGTGTTTGTGTGTGCTTGCACCCAAACATTCTTCCTCTAAGGCAGAGCTATCAGTCAATAGACTCAAGACCCAGCCTAATCCAGGATGACCTTATCTTAACCTGATTATATATGCAAATACTCTAAGGTCACATTCCCAGGTTCTGGACTGACATAATCTAATGGGGAGATACTCTCCAATCTGGTATGATTAGCTATATTTCAGATTTTTTCCCCAGTGCTCCTAACATAGTCTATAATACAGCAGGTGCTCAATAATATGTGTGTGTGTGTGTGTCTGTGTGTGTGATGCTAGGATTTCAACTTACAGCATTTGCCCTGAGTGACATCCCCAACCCCTTTTACAGTTTTTTATTTTGAGTCCTTCCTAAGCCTCCTGGAGGGCTGGGATTATAGGCAGGTGCTACGACGTCTAGGTTTGATAAATATTTTCTAGCCAGGTGTCGTGTCACATGCCTGTAATCCCAGTACACAGGAGGCTGAGGCAGGAGGATTGCCATGAGTTTGAGGCTGGCCAGGGCTTCATAGTGAGTTCAAGACCAGCCTAGACTATATAGTGAGACCCTGTCTCAAAAAATTAAAAAGAAAATTCTAACTGAAGATTGCATATCGTGCTTAAGGGAGCAGGCTCTGGTGACAGAGGGCCTGAGTTCAAAACCCACCTGTGCCACTATCCATGTAACGCTCAGAGCTCTCCTTTCCTCTTTTGTAAATGGGGATAGTGATAATACCCAGCCCATAAGACGTTGTGAGGGGTTACATGAAGTGCTCCATGTAAGTAATTAGCATAACATAGTATATACTATAGACAGACAGAGGATCTTATTTTTGTTATTAGGAGCATGTGCATTTGTTATTTTTGTTATTAGGAGCATGTGCATTTGGACCATCACTGTGAGCTCGCTACTCTACATGATGAAAGATCTAAATGGCAGATCGTGGAAGGAGGAGGTGGAGTGGCAGAGGCAAATCCCTGTTGATCCCCTCATGGGTGTGCATTCTGGGCCAACACCTATGTGTTAATCGATGCAACAGCTGCAATAATAGCTAATCCCTGCTGAGTGCTTGCAGGGTGCCTGGTGGATCATCGGCCCATTTCATCCTCAGTAGAATGAATCTGTGTCTTATTATGTGGTGGGGAAATTGGGCCCAGAGTTGGTGAGTGGCCAAGCCAGCCTTCAAGCCAGCTCAAGAACCTCCTCCCTAAGGTCCAGGAGGAACTGGGGAATTAGCATCGAGGCTTGGGTTGGCTTTACCATAAGGACGACTGAAAGGAGGGCAATTGGAATCTCAACATATTCAGCTGTGTCTAAACGGCAGCCTGAGAAGTGTGTTACAGATGTCAGTCGCTGGGGAGGTGGACGCAGCCGTCAGTGAGGAGGCGTGACCAGTGGGGAAACGTGTGTTTGCTGAGGGTACAGACTCCGACCGCTGACCCTGCTGTTCCTCCTTGTGCTTGGGAGCTCATGCTCCTAACATTGTGCTTATTTCTGGAACGCACACTTTTTCCCGCCTCATGGTCCCTCACTTTCCATCCCTCTTGCTGGTAGCTGTCCCGTTTGGCGTTCCCTAGTGGCTGGTCCCAGCTCACTCTTCTGGACTTCACTCACCTTGCATGTCATTGGGAAGGCCTTTCCTGACCAGTCTGTCTGACATCACCTCCTTCCCCATGCAGGTCCCTCACCCTCTCTTATTTCATTGTTATCACCATATCACTGTTGAAATAATTTCTTTTTTAGCTCTTTATGTAGTCCAGGCTGACCTGGAATTTGCTCTACAGCCTGGGCTATCCTTCAACGCATGATCCTCCTCCTGCCTCAGCCTCCTGAATATTGGGATTACAGGTGTATGCCACTATGCCCAGCCTGAAATGATCTCCATTTCTCTATTACTTTTCTCACACTGAGGGTCAGCTCCCCAGACAAGTGAGCTCATCTGTCTTGTTCATGCCTCCAGTTCCTCAAACAGTGCTCAGTATTTAGTAGGTTCTCAAGTAATATTTGTTCCCAAGTAATATTTGTACTCATGTAGCCAAGCTTTTGGGTATGCATTCAGGAGTCACGTGCAACATAGGATCTGGATCCAGACTGCCTGGGTCTCTTCCTTGCTGGCTCTGGGACACTGGGATAGTTACTAAATCTTGCTGGGCCTCAGTGTGTTCATCCCTACAATGGGAGGATAATGACACCTGCATCACAGGATTGTCGTACGGAGGATATGAGGTGAGTCATGAGGGCTTTACAAGAGCAGTAATGAAAAACCAAAACCGTCACTACAGCAACAAAACTCAAAAAAGGAGGGGGAACAAAAAGGGCGGTAAGGATTCAGAAGTGTCTCAGGGGTTAGAAGAAGAGTGCTAGTGGTAGAGGTGGCCCCAGCCAACCGAGCTCCAATCCTGCCCACTCGCTGGGATTGCCAGCCACGCAGGCCCAGAGGAGAAGCTGGTGGTGTGTTGCAACTACAGTTATTTATGCGCATCGATTAGCAATATGTTAACTTTGCACCTGGCTTTCACTTTCTGCCTGCCTCTGCTGTTCCCTGCCTCCACTGTAATTCTGAGTCAGCGCAGCTCCGAGCTCTGGGCAGTGGCTTAGACGAGCCTCAGAGATCAATAGTTACCACTGAAAGGTCAGAGGCCCCCCGGGACCTGAGGTTGTTTCTCAGAAGGGCCTTGAGGAGGAATGAATTGAGCTGTCAATTCATTCAGCACCTGGTTTGATTTCTGGTCTCAGGAGTCACATTTGGCCGGAACTCAACCACCCTGTTACCGCTCAGGGCTCTTTCTCAACCAGCCCGCTGCTCCCTGAGGGGTTTTGCATTTGCCTTCGGCAGGGACGATGCGAACTGGGCTAGCACCTGTCACGCAGCAAGGCGCTGAGGTCTTGCTGCCCGGTGCACGGTGTTGGAGCTGAGGCAGGGAGCCCAGCCTGAATGAGACTCTTCCCAGCAGGAGAGAAAGCCCTTCCCGCCGTTGTTTGCTTTGGAAGTTTTCATTCTGTCATCGTGTGAGTTTCTCCATGCCGGGACTTCAGGGCTGCCTTCTGTCTGCACGTTAGGCAGGTCAGCTAGGCTAAGAATCATGTACTGCCCGCTTGCCTACCCGCTGCGGCAAGGTGGAAACTCAGCGGTAGAGCCTGCAGGTTTACCTCCGATGGGGATATACAGAAATGCTTTGACCTTGATGGCAGCCAGTCTTAAAGAAAAGCAAAGAATTGAAACAGGAACCATGGGGCACGGGTGCCATCCTCCTCTCCCAACTGCCAGTTCCAAGCACCCATCCGGGGGCTGTTCTTAGTGCCTGTCGTAAGCCTCCT